TCAAAGCAGTTCAGTGAGAAGTCTTTGCAGGGCTCTGATCAATTCTGCTACTAGAGTTTAGCTCCACTGAACTAAACAAACCAGGAAGTAACATAAGTGGGTGTAACCAGATTAATTTATAAAAGTGCCAGTTTTTATTGATATCTGCACTTTTTTGTAAAATGAAAAAAAGAGGACACTCTTTACACATAAAGCACTTCAGCAAATTTAAGTGCTTCAGGTATCTGGAGTGTCCCTTTACTGGAGAGTTTAATCCACCAATGTGGACCAGGTTGCATTTCAAACCTACTGGTTTTCGGGGTCTGCCATATTATTTCTGCTCTTTGCAGCAGGCAGGGAGTTGCCATTAGTTTATCCTGATATGTGAGTTTTATGGTCAGTGACCGATATTTGAATTACATTTGTATTCTGACTGTCTGACAGGACAAAACATCCAATAAAAATATGGCATTGACAGGGCCGAATATCCCATTAAGCTGAGGAGGCGCCTAGTCTGTCTGGTAAAGGAACACTATAACTTTAGGAATACAAATATATATTCCCAACAATATAGTATTCTGGTCCATATTAAGATTCAGCCCCTTCCCCCACCTCCCATTACCCTGTAAAAATTACCTTTTTCCAGCTGAGAGATTCACTTGGTGCTCCTGTCCGCTTCACTTCCGGCAACATCATCCTGTAGGCATCGCTTCCACAATGATCATCCAATGCTCCACATAGAGGAGCATTGGAGATGAGATGCACGTGACGTTGGATGTCACATGACCAACTCACCAGAGGTGCAGACCACAAGCTCCTCCCATTCGATTGCAGGGAGTGTAGGGATAGCATTTTCTTAATTGTGACCTGTAGTGTGTAATAGCATAATATTCATATTGTCTGGCAGAAAATGTCTGACATGAGCTACTTGCAGAACCAAATGGGCCACCAAAGAACAGGGCCATGATCATAACTCCACTGTGCAATCAAGGAGCAGGGCCATGATCATAGCTCCACTGTGCAATCAAGGAGCAGGGCCATGATCATAGCTCCACTGTGCAATCAAGGAGCAGGGCCATGATCATAACCCCACTGTGCCACCAGAGAGCAGGGCCATGATCACAGCCTCACTGGGTCACCAGAGAGCAGGGCCATGATCACAACCTCAGTGGGCCACCAGAGACCAGGGCCATGATCACAGCCCCACTGGGCCACCAGGGAGAAGGGCCATGATCACAGCCCCACTGGGCCACCAGGGAGAAGGGCCATGATCACAGCCCCACTGGGCCACCACGGAGCAGGGCCATGATCACAGCTCCAATGGGCCAATACAGAGCAGGGCCATGATCACAGACCCAATGGGCCAACAGGGAGCAGAGCCATGATCACAGCCCAAATGGGCCACCAGTAAGCAGGGCAATGATCACAGCCCCACGGGCCACCAGGGAGCAGGGCAATGATCACAGCCCCAATGGGCCACCAGGGAGCATTGTTAAAACAATACTAAAGAACATATATATTGAGGAAAAGTAGTGTACCAAGAAGGAAGCTGGGAAAGGTAATGAATACAAAGGAAAAAGTATTAATCCAGACAAGGGGAAATATCATATAGGAAAAATAAAAATAAAAAAACCCTTTATTGATGAAAAAACTAATAAAATTGCCCAACGGCAAATACCATGGTGTTCATGTGCTGTGAACAAACCAAATGTGAGGAAATGAAAATAGAAAAATCAAAAAAATCACCAAATCAATAAGTCAAAAATAGGTGTACGAAAGGTCTGAGTAACACCTAGTATAATAACTATAAACATGGTATTTGTAAATCCTATCGTACTGCCTATTGCAGGATCAAGGTAAAGCGTATCACCAACGTAGCGGGTATAAATCTATGCACACGTCTGTGCCAAGATTTATTACAAAATGTCTCAGTGGGGTGAAATATTAGGGAATAGCTGTTAATAGCAAGATTGGCACCAAAATTGATTTTTTAGCGTGTAGCAGGATAATGTCCAGCAATCAAAAATGAAGGAACGCTCCCTGCCTATAACTATTACAAACGTATAGGCAATAGAATAGATACTGGGTGGCCACAAGAGCGTGGGGTTAAACAAGGTAAATAAACGGCTAGGTACTGACATAGAATCCAACTCCCATCAATGGCAGGCATAAGTATAAAGAAGAAACTAGCTGCCTTTTTCTTTAAGGAGATTGGAACGCAGAAATGTCTAAGTCCAGATAGTAAAAAATGTGGGAAGCCTTCCAATAAAAAATAGAGAAGGAAAGTTAGACTAAAATACTAACAGTCTAACAGCCTTCTCCCTACAACGGCACCTATGGCTGTAATAGTGCTGAGTTCAGAGGGAGGGTAATGGAGCTGTAGATGTTAAATCTCTTAGCAAGATGGTATACCAGCTATGAGTAAAATACCTTCATGCCGGAATGTGGACTAAATAAATATACTGCTGTATATAAAGTTGCACTAAGATAGTAGCCTTACTAGAAAGATTACAGGGGAGGGAGAAGAGAAGATTACACGGAGGGAGGGGGAAGAAGAAGATTACAGGGGAGAAGATGATATACAGGGGACGGGGAGAAGAAGAAGAGAACACAGGGAGGGAAGAAGAGGAGAACATGGGGAGAAAAGAGGGGGAGAAGAAGAGGAGAACACGGGGGAGAAGAAGAGGAGAACACAGGGGGTGGGAGATGAGAACGTGGGGAGGGAGAGACCACTAAAGGAGGGAGGGGGTGGTGGAGAGACCACTAGGGAGGGGTGAGAAGGACCGCTAAGGGGGTGGAGGATAGACCACTAGGGGAGGGTGGGGGCAGAGGAGAGACCACTAATGGAAAGGGGGGGGCAGAGGAGAGCAGAGACCACTGAGGGGGAGACGAGAGACCACTAATGAAAAGTCGGGGAGAAAAGGAGACGATTAAGGGAGGTGGGTGGGAGAGGAGAGACCACTAAGGGGCAGGGGAGATCTGTGAGGGATGGAAGGAAGAGCTCTATAGGACAGGGGGCAGGACAGGGAGCTCTTTCACACTACGCACACACACACACACACACACACACACAATGCATCCCTATACACACAGAAACACAACATGCTTCCCTTACACACAGAGAAACACACAATGCATCCATTACACACACACACACACTGCAACCCTTACACATAAAGACAATGCATCCTTTGCACATATACACAGAAACACACAATGCATCCCTTACACACATATGCAAACACACACTGCTTCTCTTACACACACACAGAAATACAATACATCTCTTACACACACTCAACGCACCCCTTACAGACACACACACACTTTCATCCCTTACACACAACAAGAAACACACAATACATCCCTTATACACAAACACACACTGCTTTCTATCCCTTACACAAAAACACACTGCTTCCACTACACACAAACACACTGCATCACCTACACAAACTGGTATCCCTATACACTACATTCCATAAGCACACACATTAGATCCTCTTCAGTAACACATAACACATCCCCTACACACTCCACTCCCTGTGAGCGAACTCATGGGTGGAACATGTAGGTGGACTTATGGGTGGGCCTTATGGGCATACCCACCGTCAGGCCTGAGCTGTGTAAGGGGCCCCAAAAAATGGAGCTGCTTCCAGAACATTGAATTTTGTGACCACAGTTACAAACAGCCTCCAGAGATCCTATTCTACACCAGACCAGTGGAACTAGACTGCAGCCAGAGCCCATCACCATCCTCATCTGATTGTAAGTAGGCAATCTAGTATATTATTAGTGACACTAATCTCTAATTTACCTCACATTAAAGAAACACTATAGGGTCCCCAGAACCACTGCGGCTTAATAAAGTGGTTCTGGTGTCTATAGTTTGTCCCTGTAGGCTTTTAAATGTAAACACACACTGTGTGCAGCACTGGCATTAGTTCATATGGCAGATTATATGGGTGGGGCATTGCGATGTCACGGGGGGGCAGGGAGAGAGGGCCGCAAATCTTTATTTTGCCTAGGGCGGCAAAAATCTTTGCACCGGCCCTGCCCCCGTGTTCCAGAATTAATATATATGGAACCATGCGAAGAGTCTGACATTTAGGTAATCAGATTTGGTTGCCCAGGACCAAGGTGGTAATCAACCTATCCTGCATTAACGTGCTATAGTTGTAGAATCTTTAAAGATGAGCATTGTTTAAATGTATTTATATATAATGCTTTTAAACTTACAGTGCCCATTAAGAGATAACAGATGCATCAGCCTACCCGCCTCTGCCAAAGTGAAGATCAGAAAATATCAAATGTAAATGCACGTTCAAGATATAAATCACTGTTTTAAGTGATCAGCTGCTACATCCCCCATGCACACAGAGTGTTCCTATTAGTTTTGCACTGTTTAAATATACATTCATCACCAGGTGACCTTCTGTTTTACAGGTGACAGCTGTGCATACAGGTATCACAGGAGAGAAAACAACTGCATAGAGGAGAATGGTGCCTCATATTAAGTAACTGAGTATCTGCCCGCTAGAATATGTACTTTACTTTTTACGTAATCCAATCCCTCCATCTTTTTATTTTATTTTTTTTTAACTAGTTGTGTTTTAAAATAAGAAATGCTTGGCTGCTCCATCCCGGAGTGAGTTCAGTATTTACTTGAGTATTTGACATTAGCTATTCCATCTCTGGATCTACTCCAGCTCAGTGTCTATGCTGCAACCAAAATGATGCAGTGTGCCGTTACAGTTTTACAATTGACATGTACTGCTCCACCTTATCCCAAAAATGACACAAGTATAGTGTCATCATGACATGAGCAACATCATCCCCTTACATTAATGGCAAGTTGATGTTGCTCATGTCAGGATGACACTATACCGTTATATATGGTCCGTCCACCCTCCGACCTGTGGTCTGGCATGGTCTTTCGTACTCAGAGAGTATGTTATATAGTGTCATGATTTGGTGACTTGTGACAGAGTAAGGGAGGGAGGGGGTGACTAGTGACAGAGGGAGGGATGGGGTGACATAGTGACAGAGGATGCGGATGACTAGTGACGGAGGGGGTGACTAGTGACAGAGGGAGGGATGGAGTGACTAGTGACAGTCACCCCCTCCCTCACTCTGTCACTAGTCACCACCTCCCTCACTCTGTTACCCCCTCACTCTGTCACTGTGTCACCCCCACCCTCCCTCTGTCACTAGTCACCCCCTCCCTCTGTCACTGTGTCACCCCCTCCCTCCCTCCCTCTGTCACTAGTCACCCCCTCCCTCTGTCACTACTCACCCCCTCCCTCTGTTACTTTCACCCCCTCCCTCACTCTGTCACTAGTCACCCCCTCCCTCACTCTGTCAACAGGCCCCCCCTCTCTTACTCTGTCACCAGTCAACCCCTCCCTCTGTCACCTCCTCCCTCACTCTGTAACTAGTCACACCTTCCCTCCCTCACTCTGCCACTAGTCACCTCTTCCCTCACTCTGTCACAAGTCACTTCCCCCCTCTGTCACTAGTCACGCCCTCCCACACTCTGTCACCAGTCACCCCCTCACTGTGTCTCCCCCTCACTCTGCCACCAATCACCCCCTCCCTCCCTCACTCTGCCACCAGGTACCCCCTCACTCTGCCACCTGTCACAACCTCCACACTCTGCCACTTGTCACCCTCTCCCTCACACACTCTGTCACCTGTCACAAGTGCATTCACACATACTAAAATACAAACATACATTGATACACAGGTCTTCACAATATACACATCCAAAAGAATGCTGTATTATAGGAGAGTTATATTTAATATTTATTTAATGCACATATATTTGGCCTTCAAAGGGCCTGGGATTTAATTTTGCCCGGGGGCCCCAAAGGCTCTCAGTCCGCCCCTGCTCACCACCAGACCACTCAGTATCATCATGATCCCCCTATTTGGCCAAAGATATGAAGCAGGGAGGGGGGAAAAACAATCTTAAATAATTTTTTATTATTTTTTATAAAACCGGTCCCCTCCCATCCCTCACCCCCACAATTTAGCCACTATCCCCCCTTACAAATCCACAAACACTACATTTCCAAATAGTTTAGATAGATGCCGAAAAAAAAATATTGCCGTATTGTTTAAAGAAAGGAAGTTCAGTATTGTTTTGGTTTCTGCTACATTTGCAACAGTTTTATCGCTTTCAAGCATATTTCAAGAGCAGAAATAATCTCTGATCTATATATAAGAATGCCAAGTTCCAGGTGAATGAGCAAGCACAAAAAGTCTTTGATAAGTTGGAAAAGTTGTTTACTGTGGTAACTATGGCCCATCTTTCTTTTAGCTCTTCCTGTTCTACAAATCATGGAGCTTATGGAGCTGATTTATCTGAATGATCTGGTGATAATGACATGCTTAATTTGATTTCTCATGTACCTTAAAAAACTCACCAGTGATCAAAATGGTTGTAGCAGAACAGAAACATCAGTTACAGACACACAGTCATCTAGTTACGGTAAACACTGATCAGTTATGCCTGCCTGGTGAGATTTAAAGATGGTACGACACTGCCTCACTAACCTGTTGGGTTTGTTGACTTAACCCATGCCTCTCAACCACCAAGATTTTGACGGACACTCACGATTTTCTCAACTTTGTCCTCAAAAAGTGCAGCAAGAAGGATGCAGGCTGAGGGAGCTTAATGAAGTGGTCTGGGTGCCAGGTCCATCTAGGGTTAACCCTGCCTGATGTAAACATAGCAGTTTCAAAGAAACTGCTATGTTTACATATGAGTTAATCCAGCCTCTAGTGGCTGTCTCATTGACAGCCGCTAGAGGCGCTTCTCACTGTGATTTTCACAGTGAGAAGACGCCAGCGTCCATAGGAAAGCAGTGAGAATGCTTTCCTATGGAGTGACTGACGCTTTCTGCAGCCTGCTGGTGGCTCTGAGGTGAGAGACGCGGCCAGTCTCTCACCTATCTTATGAGTCCTGTGCTGCCTGTACCACGCTCCCCCCCCTTTGGATCGGTGGGGGTTATCCCGGTCCCCAACAGAGAATGTCACCTCCCTGCAGCAAAGGCCTCGCAGCTCAAAGAAATGGTGACCGTGTGGCGAGTCAAAAATGGCCATCACGCTGAAGCCACTGCACAGCCAACCGAGCACTGGAAGTGGGAACTGGAGGAGAAGCTTTGAGACGAGATTCAACGCCATATGCCAGAAGTTCTGGAGCCGGTTTGACCGCCAACCACACACCTCTACCCCTCAAGCTACACTGCAAACTCAGGAGGTTGTGCTGGTCTACCTTACCTCTGCTGGGCTGGGGGCCCATTAAGAGACACATTTCACAGTCTACACAACCGGAGGGCTCTTCCTTCACAGGAGCTCCTGCGGGCCCGCGATCCCACCACCAGGATTAATCAAATCCCTGGACCTCGAGCATCGGCCCTCATCAAGGCCTGGGCCCGAGATGGTGATAGGCCCTGGCGCAATGAGCCTGACTTACCAGAGCGTCGGGTCACTCTGCAAAGCTTGGAAGAAGCGAGAGATGATCAAGTGACCAGTCTAGAAATTACTTGCTTATCCTGGCTAACCTGTGGTATCGGCTGACCAAAGACTGGCAGATCGTGAGTTCATCCTTAATGTAATGCTTGTCACGATTACTATGTGACCCAACACACAAAACTATATTAAGACAAACAACATATACTGAACCTTAGAATGGACGGACTTAACGTAAAATAGAATGGCCAAAATAACAAGCCAAGGTCGGGGGTACAGAATGAGACAATTCAAATAAACGAGCCAAGGGTCAGGATACCAGAAGTAGAGAAAGTCAAAAACATAAGCAAAAGTAAAAAACCAGAAATACAATACCAAGAACACACTCTCTGACAACCAACAAGAGACAAAGGCATTACAGGGTATAAATATGTCTCTCAGTGCTGTGATTGGTTATTACATGGCCCTTGACCCCAAAACATCACATGCATGCCGGCGGCATCTTTAATGTGGGCAGTGCGCCCTTTAACATTGAGAATGGGACCGCAGCGGCTGGCGGCCCTTTAAATGATAAAGAATAAATTATTTTTAAAATAAAGAGGAAAAAAGAAAAAAAAAAGAAAAGAAAAGTGCATTAGATAAAGCAGTGCTCCCTGCACGTACTGCCCTCAGTGAGCTGGCCTGCTTAATTGTGCATTCAATCCAGGCTGACCTTCCAGTAATTCTGGATGACCCGTCTACCCCCTTTGGGCAGATCCAGTGACATTTTTGCATTACTTGCTTGCCCCCCTTTATTCAGTTTCACCCAGCGTCCCGCATCTCAAGTCGTCAATGTACCCGATGTGCTCAACACCTACCCAGTAAGATGTCACGCACTGATGACCCCATACAACACATGTGGGAGGTTGCTTATACCCAGAATATTTAAAAAAAAAAAATCCAAATTCATGAAATGATTATTTGCTCAGGCTCTCATCAGCATGTCCAGCCATTTAGAAAGGGGGAAGAAGACTCCAAATATAACAACAGACACCATGTTTAATAAAAAATGGAGGGGGAAAGGACATTCCTACATGCACCTACGGACCAGCCTCAACTGTATTGATCACTGTTCCCACAATGATGTTCACACTGCTCTAAAATAATAACAACCACAACTGGTTTGGTGGATATTTTCTGTAGCCTTTTTCACATTTTCTAAAAGGTTGAACTGATGCCCATGGTAATACTACAAAAATACATCTTTCCACAAAAATATGTGTAGTTACATGTAGGGTTAGATAATCAACTATTTGAGGAAATAGCTAAAATGACAATGAAGGGGAAGTTATCATCATGGGTGACTTTAGTCTTCCTGGTGTGAATTGGAAAACAAAATTAGCTACTTGCACCAGGAGCAAACATATTCTAAACTCCCTACTGGGATTGTCTCTAAAACAAGTCGTTGAGAAGCCAACTCGTAAGGAGACCATACTAGATTTAGTGTTAACAAATGGAGATTTGGTATCAGATATTACTGTAGGTGAAAGTTTAGGATCCAGTGATCATCAGTCAGTGTGGTTTAATATAAGAACAGTGACTGAGTCACACCACACAAAAACAAAAGTTTTAGACTTTAAAAAAAAAATGTGTAAAGGAGTCATTATCAAATTGGAGCAATTTAAATGGAGTCCAAGAGAAATGGGATTATTTAAAAGTTGCACTGCTGAAGGCAACAGAAAATTGCATTAGGCTTGTCAGTAAAACAAAAAATCCACGAAACCACTGTGGTACTCCGCAGATGTGGCCAAAATAGTAAAAAACAAAAAGTTAGCATTTAGTAAGTATAAAAAAAAAAACAGTGAGGAAGACAGAATGCTCTATAACAGGGTTAGGCAACCTTTTAGCAGTACTATGCCGAAATAAGATTGTGATGTCTCATAGCATGCCGGTCCTATTTATTTTAAATTGAGGTGTGTGTGTTGCCATATTCTGCTTGTGTTATTTATTCAGCAGTTGCTTTGTATCATTGTATTTGTGCATATATGAGCTATTATATTGTATTTGTGCATGAGTAGTTTGTGGTATTGTGTACCTATGAATGTGGGCGGCTTGTGGAATTGTGTGTGAATGAATATGTCACATAGTGTGTTTGGTAGTGTGTGTATGTGTTTGGGGTATTACATGTGAGAGGCTGCCTGTAGGGTTGTGTGCATGTATGTGGATTGTTAGTGGTGTTGAGTTTCTGCGGATGGTGGGTATGTTTGTGTGTGGACTGTTAGTATTATTTGAATGAGGGGAGGCTTATTCTGCATTTCTGTGTATATCTAGCAGTGTGGATGGCTTCCCTGGGTTCTAGTGGTGACCAGGCTGGCCAGGTACTGGTCAAGGACAGGAGCTGCAACAGCAGCTGTGGGCTCTTCTACTCCAGTGTGGATTCCCATTCACAAGTGCTGCAATGCATAAAATGAGGATTGTCCTTCACCACCTTTTCGTATATCTGAAGTTTAACTGGGATTCCGGATAGGCCGGTGCCTGTTTGGCTCTGGCAGCATTGAGTGCCGTACAAAGACACAGCATTGAGTGCCGTACAAAGACACTTCGAGTGCCGTGCATTGCACACGTGCCAAAGGTTGCCTATCCCTGCTCTATAAGATTAGGCAGAAAGAGGCTAAGCAAGTTATAAGAGCTTCCAAATCACACACAGAAGAGAAAATAGCACAGTCAGTAAAAAAAAGGGGAAAAAACATTTTTTAGATACATAAATAAGAAAACGAAAGTAAAACAAGGATTAGTTAGATTA